TCTCATCATCCTCACTTCTAAGGAGCATTCTGGATGTACTTCCTCCAAGACAGATTTGTTTTTAATTCTGGTAGTTATGGAATGTTTAATATTCTTCACCAACGCCATAATTCAAATGTGTCAGTTCTTCGGTCTACCTTTTTTACTGTCCAGCTTTCACATGCAGATAAAGCAATTGAAAATACCATGGTTTGGATCGGGTGCACTTTAGTCCTCAAAGTGACATCTTTGCTTTTTTACACTTTAAAGAAGTCTTTTGCAACAGATTTGCCCAATGCAATACATCATTTGATTTCTTGACTTCTGCTTCCATGTTCGTTGCTTGTGGATCCAAGTGAAATGAAATCTTTGACAACTTCAGTTGAAGTTGGAGATTGAAGTTGTCAAGGGCTTATACATAGATAGTTCCATTTCTGGCAATGAATGGAATGAAGGGTAGAAGATATTACAGGCACAGTGATCAGCATTAGGAAATGCTTGGGAGGTAAGGCTGAACTGAGAGTGCTCACACAACCTCAGCTGTCCATTACATCCAATGTAAACATGAGGCAGGAGGCAGGTCTGGAATGGCAGCCTGAGGAGCTGGGCCTCTGTTCTGAGGGTGGCGGGAGCCATGGAAGGTTTAGAGCACAGTAAGGAGGTAATCTGACCCAGTCTTAACAGCTTCCTCAGCTGCAGAGTAGAGAATGGTCTGTGGGGTTGAGGGTAGAAGGAGGGAGGCTACTATAATAGTCTGGTTGAATGTTGATGGTGACTGGACCAGAGCAGTGGCTGTGAAGCAGTGGTTGGATTCTGCATCTGGTCTTTTTTTGTTTGTTTGTTTAATTTTGGTGAAAATATACACAGCAGAACATACACCCATTCATCAGTTTCTACATGTACAATTCAATAACATTCGTTACATTCTTCATGCTGTGTCACCATTCTTGCTGTCTTTACCCATACTGTTTCGCCACCATTGACTTAGACTCACTACCCCCTAAAATTCTCATCTAAATCTAATTTTTTATTTAAGTTTATTTTTGGTGAGAACGTACACAGCAAAACCTGCTCCTATTCCATACTTTCTGAACATAATGACATTGGTTACATTGTTCACATTATGTAAACATTCTCATTATTTCTGTTCTAGTTGTCATTTCCATTTTCTTAATCTTCCTGCCTCCCAACCTTCTCATCTATGCTTTAAAATAGCTGTTGATTGACCCCATAGTCTTCTATAGATAATTTTATTAAAAGAATGCAATATTCAAGGGTGACAGTCTTTACTTTTTGAGCTAAAATGTTATTTATTTTCAAGGTGACTTCTAGGAATAGTCTTAATTCAAAGTTTGAAGACCAACTCAGGGCCATCGTCTCGGGGACTCCTGCCTCAATAGGTCCAGTAAGTCTGAATTATTTAAGAATTTGGAGTTCTGTTCCATATTTTTCTCCCTTTCATCTGGATTCATCTATGGTTTTCCTGATCAGAGTCATCTATATCTGTTTTTAAAGTAGGTCCAGAGCTGACTTTCTGATGTGGAGGGTGGGAGGGAGAAATGGAAGAGTAAGGGAGGACCCCGAGGTGGTTGGCATTGGTTGCTGGAAGCAAGGAAGTGCCATCTGGTGGGATGGGAAGTTGGTGATGTTCCAGAGATGCCCGAGTGGTTTGTTGAGTGGGCATCTGGATATACCAGTCTGGAGTTCAGGTGAAGGGTTCAGATGGGAGACACCCACAGGGCAGCTGGTGCATGGACCAGGATGGAACTGGGGATTAGACTTAGGAAGGGGATATTTAGGTCATGGTGGCAATGCTGCTAGGGAATGAGGGAGGGGAGCACAGGGGTTGAGGACTGGGCCTTTTGCTTGCACATCTGGGGAGGAGGTGTGCTTCACAAAGATGAGGGAGAGCCGTGGTCATGGGGGAGGGGTATGAGAGAGGAGGGTCTCGCGCATGGTCAGGGCTCCCAAGGGGGAGTGGACATGAGGTGGCTACAGAGGCCAAGCAGTAAGGGAAGGTGAAAGTGAGGCCAGCCCCACTGCATATTCATGCCACCACGAGCCTGTCAGGCTTTTATTCTGAGCCTTGGTGGGGCTTGGGGAGTGTCAGGCAGATTCGCTAAAAGTCCAGTGGGGTCACCTGGGAGAATCACTAGGCCTGGTTTGGGAGATGTCTTAGCTAGTGCTGCTATAACAGAAGTACAAATCGGTGGCTTTAACAAGCAGAAATTTATTTTTGCACACTGTCGGAGGCTAAATGTCCAAATTCAGGATGCCAGCTCTAGGAGAAGGCTTTTTCTGTCAGCTCTGGGAGAAGGTGCTTGTCTCTTTTCAGCTTTTGTTCCTAGGTTTCTTGGTGATCATGTGGAGGGTATCATCTCCATTTGTCCTTGCTTGCTTAATTTGCTCTTTTATATCTCAAAAGAGATTGATTTAAGACACACCTTATACTAATACTGTCTCATTAACATAACAGAAAACCTATTCCCAAATGGAATTATAACCACGGACATATCCCTTGCAGTAAAGTCGATTCTGACTCGTAGCGACCCTATAGGACAGAGTAGAACTGCCTCATAGGGTTTCCAAAGCTGTAAATCTTAACAGAAGTAGACTGCTGCATCTTTCTCCAGCAGAGCAGCTGGTAGGTTTGAACCACTAACCTTTCTGTTAGCAGCTGAGCATGTAACCACTGTGCCACCAGGCACAGGGGTTAGTATTTACAACACATGTTTTTTGAGGACACAATTCAATCCATAACAAGAGACAAGTGGGTCTGGAATCCCAATGAGAGTTAAGTGGTGAGAGAAAGGCTGAGACTGGCAAGGGGAGAGCTCTGCAGCCTAGGAAAGGGAGAGGGCTGAGGGCATCTGAAACGTGCTCATGGTTCAGGGTGGCTGAGGATGAATCAGGAAAAGGGCCAGGCAGGGGGGCCTTTGGAGCAGGGCTGGAGGCTGCCTCCGACAATGGGGGCCGTTGGCATTCTGGGACAAGTTGGGTGTCTGACTTCATTTGCCAAGCACACTCTGGATGCCATGTGCAGAGGAGCATGTGGGGAGGCCAGGGAGGTGTGTGTGGTGTGGTACTGGGGTGGAGGTAGTAGTGTGGGGTAGGCGATGTAGGAAGATGTGGTGCAAACAATGATGTGCTCCCACGTGACAGAGTAGAACTGCCCCTCGAGGCCTCTCCTCTCACTGGTCTAGTGGGCTATGATAGGATCCCAGGTGAATTGTCTGGCAGGGGAAGGATGAGATCTTCAGTTTAGATGTCATCTCTCTGACCACCTGCCTGTTGCGGTGGGCTGAGTCAGTGGTCAGTGGGAACTGCGGAGAGAATGGACACTGGTGAGCTCTCCCCAAGGGGGTGAGCTAGGCAGGAAGACTAGCAGGGGTGGATAATTGGGGGATACCTGAGGAAGGAGGCTGAATATCAACTCAACATCAGCTCAGCTAGCCCCATCCTGGCAGGGCTGTGTGACCTTTGAGGACGTGGCCGTGTGCTTCTCTCGGGAGGAGTGGGAGCTCCTTGATGTGGCCCAGAGACTCCTGTACCGTGATGTGATGCTGGAGACCTTTGGACTCATGGCCTCACTGGGTAAGTCCCTCACACCCCACCCCTGTGTCTTGGACTGGGCTTTGCCCTTCCCATTTTCCCTCGGGGCCATTCTGTCCTTCCCAAAGCTAGGCCATGGGTACACCTTCCTTTCCAGTTTCCTGGAGGAGGCACTGTGGGTGACGGGGCTGTGTTCACTACACCGTTCACTCCCTGAGCTGCCCCAACACCTGCTGCTCCAAAGCATTGCAGGAAAGAGTTTGGGGGTCATGAATCTTGATAACCGACCTCGTGGATCTCACCCTGTCTGGTGGCAATGTGTGGCTCCATGGCAATTCCATGTCCCAGGTTCTGCCTCCTTCCTCGAACTAACACACAGTGAGGTCTGCCCATGCCAGCAGTTGAGGCACCGACATGGTCACTACTTACCTGAGTCATTCCTTTAAAACCCTCCTCTGAAATTCTTCTCGTAATATTTAGTTTTCAGTCCTGTGGTCTGTCATGGAGTGGGTCACTCTGTCCCAGTGCTGCCCACTCACTTGTTCTGTCTTTCCCTTAGGACTGGTATCTTCCAGGACCCATGAAATCACCCAACTGGAGCAGTGGAGCGAGCCCTGGGTGCCTGACCAAGAGGCCATGGCCCCAGACACGCCAAGAGGTGTTTGGAGGGGTCCTGGCCCCAATAAGTGAGAGATGGGGGAGGGCATGAACTCAGGGAGGGGCTCAATTCATACCAGGAATCTTTCCAGTGTGCCTGATATTTCAGTGCCAAGGCAAGTGTCCGCAGCTAATTTCCATCTTTCCTTCCCTAGTCACCCACATATCATTTCTATTCCGAGTTCTGACCCAGGCCTACCCTCCACCTTTCTGTCTTCCATGTCTCACCCATTCCTCTGCACTGCTCCCTCTGTAGTGTTCCTCAGCACTGACCTTCACTTAATGTGTCATGAAATGTGCACATATCCTTAAGTAGTCCTGGAACACCACCTATCCAGCTGGAGTGATTTTCCTGGGCACAGACGCACCCTTCTGTACAACTCTCATGTGTCATTTATGGGCAAGTCCAAGCATAAAGCCTCTTGGAGAAAAGTATGTTGAAGGCTGTACTTCTCCTTCATGTTTGCCCCCATCCTTGTGTCCTTGCTGTTTGGGAGCCCTCTCTCATTCTGTGAGATTGACCAGGCCTCACTGCACAGCTGGCCCTTCCTCACCCTGACCTTGGCCCCCTCATTCTGTCACCAATGTCATGGACTCATTACTGGGTGTGTCAGACGTATGTCTTTGACATGGCTTCCCTCTGTCACCAGCATCAACTTGCGCTTCACCAGCATTTCTCTGCTTTCAGGTTGTTGGCGTGGAGTGGAGGCTAAGGAGGTACTTTCTGAGCAAAGTGTTTCTGTAGAAGGAACATCACAGGTCAGGACTCCCAAGGCAGGCCCATCTACTCAGAAGACCCACCCTGGTGCAGTATGTAGTCCCGTTGTCAAGGAGATTGAGCAAGTGGCTGTGCATCAGGGAACACATCCTACAAAGAAACCGTACACATGTGGAACATGTGGGAAAGGGTTCTGGTTCCATGCAAACCTTCACCAGCACCAGAAGCTGCATGCTGGAGAGAAACCCTTCAGAAGAGAAGAGAGCCGGGTCTCAGTTTTGAAGAGCTGCAGAGTTCACTTGTCAGAGAAGCCCATCCAGTACAGGGAGGGTAGGAAAGACATCCTGATCAGCTCAAATCTTCCCAAGCATCAGGGGACTCACAGTGGGCATGAAACTGTGAGCTCTGAGTGTGGGGAGGCCTTCCACACTGGAAAAAAGCATCACAAATGCCACGAATGTGGAAAAGCATTCAGTCAGAAATATTTACTTGTTCAGCATCAGAGAATCCACACTGGAGAAAAGCCTTATGAGTGCAGCGAATGTGGAAAGTCATTTAGCAATAAATCTAACCTTCATATACACCAGATAATTCACACTGGAGAAAGGCCTTATGACTGTAGTGAATGTGGAAAATCCTTTAGCCGCAATGCCGACCTCCTTCAACACAGGAGAGTTCACACTGGAGAAAAGCCGTTTAAGTGCAGTGAATGTGGAAAACCCTTCAGGCATAATTCCACACTTGTTCAGCACCAGAGAATCCACACTGGAGTAAGGCCTTATAAGTGCAGTGAATGTGGGAAGTTCTTTAGCCACAACTCCAGCCTCATGAAACATCAGCGAGTTCATACTGGAGAAAAGCCTTATGATTGCAGGGAATGTGGGAAAGCCTTTATTCACAAGTCAAGCCTCATTCAACACCAAAAACTTCACAGTGGAGAAAAGCCTTTTAAGTGCAATGAATGTGGAAGATTCTTTAGTGAAAATTCCAGCCTCATTAAACATTGGAGAGTTCACACTGGAGCAAAGCCTTATGAGTGCAGCGAATGTGGCAAATTTTTTCGCCACAAGTCAAGTCTCGCTAACCATCGGCGAATTCACACTGGAGAAATGCCTTATGAGTGCAGTGACTGTGGGAAATCCTTTAGCCAGAGCTTCAACCTCATTCAACACCAGAGAGTTCACACTGCAGAAAAGCCGTTTACATGCAGTGAATGTGGAAAACCCTTCAGGCATAATTCCACACTTGTTCAGCACCAGAGAATCCACACTGGAGTAAGGCCTTATGAGTGCAGTGAATGCGGGAAGTTCTTTAGTAATACCTCCAGCCTCATGAAACATCAGCGAGTTCACACTGGAGTAAGGCCTTATGAGTGCAGTGAATGTGGGAAGTTCTTTAGCCACAACTCCAGCCTCATGAAACATCAGCGAGTTCACACTGGAGAAAAGCCTTATGACTGC